AATTTTATTTACACACACACATACATATAAATGTATTTAGGAAAATGAGGAACGAGTTAAGTTGAGACGCTGACGTATAATTTTCAAGATATTGTCAAGGACCAATGCGTTTGTATTATGTTTATGCAGGTCTTGTTCGCAGGGGAAAGAGTTGGCGAAGGAGTTGGTAGAACAAGAAGGGAAGCACAACGCTTGGCTGTTGAAGGATCTCTTTTATATTTGGCTGGTAGAATATGATATTGGTTTCCATAATGTTGAAATGAGTGTGATGTTGCAATTTTTTTAATATAATATATGTATATTTAATTTTTGTTATTGGATTCTTTATGCATTTAGTCTGTATTTGTTGTTATTATTATTATTATTATTATTATTATTATTATTATTATTATTTTTAATAGAAGATGAATTATCTTCTAACATTGTATTCACCCAAAAACCATTTAGTTAAGAGCAAGGGGTAAGCACTCTTGTTGGTTTTGGGTGGCCAGTTAAGTTGGATTTTAGATTCTGGTTTCCATTAATTTTCTTAAGTTATAGTTTCTCTAACCCAAGAATGAAAGGATGCTTTGCGGTTTAGTTCTCTGACTGATGTTTTTGTTTTAACATCAAAGTGTCGATGCATATTTCTGCATGTCTTTGAAATTCTGCTGTTTCCAAATGTGTCTTTCTCGTTTCTCTTAGCTCCTGTTTGGATTATTTGCCTGATCCTTTCTTCTTCAAAATTCGCAATTATGTGGCTTCTATATAATCATGCTTCTTAAAATATTGTCTCAGTTGGCGTGATTTGACAGTAGTATGATGTATCATGCTTTGCTTCTGAAACTCATTCTAATCGTCACAAAATGTTTCATCGTAGATAAATACTTGTCCCAGCTTAGGCCTGAATCCGGCTGCGAGCCTGGGGATGGGAATAGGTTTGATAGTCGAGTGGATAACGATTTCACTAGTGATGTCAACTCCTTTGGGTATCATTCATTGCCTAAGGAGGATGGTGCCTTTCCAACAGTTGGCCCACCACCACAAAGGATTTTAGATCCAAGAATTGAGGCCTCCAAGAGGCATACAGGCCCAATAGCTGCTCTTAAAGACTTGGTAAGTATCTTATACTGACACAATTCTTATTCAAAGGTTTCATTGGTTTGTATTGCATGCTTTTTGGTATGTATAAATTTGCATTAATTTCATGGACATGATTCTTTGCTAATCATCAATTCTTCCAGTGTATGATGGAGGGCCTTGGTGTAGCATTCCAAACTAAGTCGCAATTTTCAGCTAATCCTGCCCTGAAAAACGAGGTGTACGCTGAGGTATGAAATCACTTACCGTTTCTGTTGACGGCTGCGTACAACACTATTATTGCTGTCGCTTGTATCATTGTATGAATTATAAGTTTTCTGATAATTAGCAATACAATGTCTAAAGCCTCCTACTCTGGGATCAAGTATATCTGGAAGATTTTCGTTGAAGTACAATTTAGTAAAACAAAGTGTATCAGACAATATTAATATTTATGTATTTGACCGGTTTCTACTTTAGGTTCTCGTGTTATCATATTGTGGTTCAATGAAATTCTTGGATACTCCCTTTTCATGGATTCAACTTTATCTTAATTTTGTTGCTTGAAGCTGTGTGTTTTCTGAGTGCCTTGGCCTTGAAACCAATAACCCCATCTCTTGGCCATTTTAGGCTTTTAGCTGTGTGCTTGAGAGATAGTCTATTACTCTCAGTTTTAGCTAGGCTTATTAGAGGTGATTGTTGGGTTTAGAATCCCGATTATGGTAGAGATAGAATGATGTGTATGTTATGGGAATCATAGGATGTTGATGATATCGGGTAACCTGCTCATTTAACTAGCTGTATATTTTTTTATATGCCCTTCATTTCGTTCCATATGTCACATTATAGATTTTTCTTTTTTTAATTCCTCCGTCACTTTTGGAAAATCAAGACAAATTAATTGCATATTTTCTTGAATGATACGAGCGTCAATGTTAATCATTGTACTTTATTTCCCAACGTAAGTGAATTTATTCGATAGGAGATCAAATGAGTTTTATTCAAGTTTGAACCAATAATTAAAATTCCTAAAAAACATCAAGAGGTGACTTTGTTAATATGTTCAAAAAACACTATAGTCAACAGACAATAGAAAGCGGAGGAGTATTACCTGATTTATTGTCATGAATTGGGTACAGAACTTCCTTTACTCAGAAAAAAGGTGAAAAAAATCAACATGGAAAATGATACTCCCTCCTATTTTTTTTAAATGTCATTCTAGCCTTTTCAACTATTTGTCAAATAAATGTCGTTTTGGATTTTTTGTACATATTTTTCCATTATTACCCTCATTTAGCCAATAAATACATTACGTCTTTTCATATTCACTCTTCACTTTTTCTCAAAACATCCATCTCTATCTTCATTAAATAAGGTTATTATTGACAAAAAAAATATTCTTAATTAGTGTGCAACTTCTCAAAACGACATATATTAAAAATAGGAGGTAGTAGTAAATAACTTCATGTTAGTTAATTACTTTCCTTTTTTAACATTTAAGGTTGAAGTCAATGGTCAAGTATTGGGCACAGGAATTGGGCTTACATGGACTGAAGCTAAGTCAGAGGTACTCCCCCTCAACTTTTTGTACCCTTTTTTTTCCCTTTCATTAATAATCACCTGAGAAGCAACTCTGACTCTTGGCCGTATTTCAATGTTACTATATCTGTTACGTATTTCATGGTCTTAATTCGATAATGTGCTTCTTAGGCTGCTGAAAAGGCTCTTATAGCCTTAAAATCCAGAATCGGTCAGTTTCCTTACAAGCGTCAGGGCTCTCCAAGGTGAGTGATTAGTGGTTGATAGTTACCTATAACTGGGTGCGACTTAAATGGTTGATTTGAGAGTGAAATTGTTGCATGTTAAAAATAAAAACTAGGCAGAAATGAATTGCAGAACGAACCTCCAAGGCTTTATATTGATTATATAAATACCAATTATTTTGATTTTGAAAACCCTCACAAGGCATGTAGTAAATGAGTCTTCCCACTAGGGCTTCAAATGAACCAAGTCAAAGCTCGGCTCGAGTTTGACCGAGCTCAAGCATGTTATCGAGTCGAACTCGAGCATAGGTTTTGGAAGGTCGAGCGGCTCAAGATATGTAGAAAATTACTAAAATACCCTTTATATATAAAATATTACAAAATTTTATATGAAATTTCAGTCGAACTCGAGCTATTTGTCGAGCATTTTGATTTCAATCGATCTCGAGCCGAGCTCGAGCGATTGTCTTCTTTAGTCAAGTCGATCTCGAGCATATAAATCAATCTTGCTCGATAAGGCCAATGCTCGACTCGGCTTGACTCATTTGCAGCCTAATCCCACTCCATAAACGCACCTAAGGGTGTATTGTAATCATCGTTAATATATATATATAAATAATATTTTTTCTTGTGCTTCCCGGCTCTGTAATTATTCCACTATTGCTTTTTTTTTTCCCCCCATAATTAACAATATTCAATATTTAACAACTATTTTGTTTCAGATCCATGCAGGGTTTTCAAAGCAAAAGGTTGAAACCAGATTTTCCTCGAGTTCCTCAACGTATGCCATCAACCGGCAGATAACATTTCTCCTATACCTTACAATTTCCCTATATATTTCTCTTTCGTTTTTCAGTATAAGCCTAAGTTTTCCTCATTCACCATCAAGCCTTAAAAACTCACAAACAATCATCCTCACTGATTACAATCGACCGTTTACTGTAAAGAAGAGCTTGCAAAAGCAAAATAGCTGCTTTTTGTTAATATTCTTTACTGCTAACTTCTGAAAGCCAGAGGGTCTATTGATTGCCTTTCAAAAACAGGAAAACCATTACACAGAGCTTGTTAATGTAAGGGCTCTCGGCTGGAAGAAAGTATTAAACGGTAACGAACTTTGGCATAAAGTGGTTGACAAAAGAAAAAAATGCTCGAATGGCGGTTTGGAGAGAAAGGTTTAGGTTAATTGCGATGCTAAATTTCCTTCTTCCTATTGGAATCACCTTAGTGTTTTTTTTTTTTTTTTTTTTTTTTTTTTTT